TGTTGTTTACAGGGTGCTGTTACAGTGTACTAGAAGGGGTAGTGCTAAGTCTTAGAAGCCCAAGTCGATCTGTTTTGTCACCATGAGTAGCGTGCGGCGGCAGTCCTTCACGGCACAGCAAAAGCTTAAGATCATCGCCGTCGCCGAGGTATTCGGAAATCGCGAAGCGGGAAGACGGCACGATGTGGACGAGTCCTGCGTGCGATTGTGGAGAAAGAAGAAAGAGAGCCTACAAGCCGCGCACCGCGACCGTAGGTCATTTTGTGGCCCCAAGACCGGTGTCTACCCTGAGCTGGAGGCGGAGCTAGTAAAGTTCATCGAAGATGTGAGAAGCAGGGGTCACGCCGTATCGACCGAGATGGCCCAAGCGGAAGCGCGGCGACCTTCGAAGGAGCTAGGCCTACCTCATGAGTTCTGTGCGAGCCGCGGATGACTGCACCGCTTTATGAAGCGCCAAGGGCTCTCAATCAGACGGCAGACTACAGTATGTCAACGCTTGCCGGCTTCTTATGAGGAGAAGCTGCCCAAGTACCAGAGATATGTCATTGGCCTGCGAAAGCAGCACAATTACATTTTCTTGCAAATTGGCAATGCGGATGAAACTCCTGTTTATTTTGAAATGCCGTTGGACACAACGATTGAGAAGACGGTTTTATTTTGAAATGCCGTTGGACACAACGATTGAGAAGACGGGCAGCAGTTCGGTGAGCGTGCTGACCGGCGGGAACACGAAACTGCGCATCACAGTCTTGCTTCGTTCCCTCGCCGACGGCACACAACTGCGACCGTACGTCATCTTGTAAAGGAAAACTCTACCAAATATTCATTTGCCTGCCGGTGTGGTGGTGCGGGCACACGAGAACGCGTGGATGAACAGTGACTTGTTCGTGGACTGGGTCAAGACGGTATAAGAGAAGAGGCCCGGTGCGATGCTTGCGAAGAGGTCCATGCTCGTTCTTGACTCGTTCCGCGGCCACACAACTGAGGAAGTGAAGGACCGCCTTTTAAGCAACAGCACCGACTTAGTTGTTATACCCGGTGGAATGACGTCAATGTTGCAGCCTCTAGATGTGTCGCTTAACAAGCCCTTCAAAGCGCATGTCAAGCGCTATTACGCCGAGTAGATGGCCGAAGGCCTCTACGACTTGACGCCGATGGGAGGAGTCCGAAGGCCTGATATTGCCCTATTCTGCAAGTGGAATGTCGAGGCATGGAAGGCCATTCCAGGTGAGATGGTGCGAAAAAGTTTCAAGAAATGCTGCATCACAAACAACATGGATGGAACCGAAGATGACCTTGTGCATAACAGTGAGGACTGCAGCTCAAGTGATAGCTCTAGCGAGAGCAGTGACAGTGTGAATTGTGACTGGCCTTGCAGACAGCGTATTCTGCTTGCTAAATAAAGCCTTTTCTGTCTACATATGTGCTATGTTGCTTGAGCAGTAGCTTTTGTACAGCCTTTCCTGTATATCAAATGTGCGGGCAATACGCGAGGATTTTTTTTTTCTTTCTCGGTGAGCTGAAAGTGGGGGTGCGGATTATATGCAGGGGCGGGTTATACGCACAAAAATACGGTATATCTGTGTATTCAGCTCATTTGCACTGCATGTTAGCAGGCTGTAATGTAAAGCAACTACACCACTGAAAGTTTAATTGCAGCTATTTAATTGGCATGCAGGCTTTTAAATATAGCACATTCTTAACATCGATAGTGAACAGTTTTATTCACTATGAGCTTTGTAATCATTCAAGTAATCATCAATATGAAGATTTTCAAGTAGTCATTGAATCTCCTCATTGAAAGAGCTTATTGCCTCACATATCAAGTGCTGCAAAAATTTTTAGAATCTATAAGTGGAGTTGGAGGGAATTTTAGCATGCTTTAAGCAATTTCTTTCAAGATTCAGTTGTACCAGTGAGTGCGCTGGTACTTAAGACAACAAATGGTCCTGGCTTTATGGCACAGTCATTTGAGTTTATGGCATTATTTGTTGACCAAAGAGGGCCTGATTCCTGCTTGACCTTGAGAATTGTTTGTAAATTCCAGGTCGAATGCTGTACTATAATGTTTAGCTCGTGCATTCTCAGGAGCCAGGACTGCGGATCGGCAGTATTTTCTGACCATGCTGAAGAAGTGCTGCAGGGCTTCTTTGAAATAGTAATTAAATGTAGTAGCGCGAATATGGTTCCCAACTAGCCTCACATGTCACTGGGATGGTTCAAACCCACAGAGCAAGAATGTTTGAGGAGTAGAAACTCCCAGGCCGCACCAGCAGGCGAGGGCGACGCGATAGCGTCACGGAGAAATGCGGTTTACGTTGAAGCGCACCAGATGACACTTTCGGCATGTTGCCATCTTTTACATGCGCTTATCGAAGCTACACATAAAAATCGCGGTAGCTCCTCGTACATTGTAAAAGTTTGCAGATTTCTGTCTGTAACATGAATCGGTAAACGTGACAGATATTTTGGTCAGTTACTAATTTTTAATGCCAAAATTACAGGCCGCACAGTACTTGAAACGAGCTGCTCAATGGTGTCTGAGCAGACGTCAGTGCCTGCACGTGCACATACCCCTCGCTCCTTGCTCGCATGTTGTGCGCACGCATGCGAAGGCGGCCTTGAGAGGGAAAGCTCTCATCAAGCGGCCGCGTACCCCTTCGCGATCTTGTCGGCCGCGTCGACTTAGGCGATTCCTCGGTGTCCGCGCGCTCTTCATGCCACGACGAAGGGGAGGGCTTTGAACATTTTGACCAGTTGTTTTTCGGGATGCGGCGGAAGTGTGTTGTGTCGAACTGTAACAGCGAGTAGGCATATCTTGCAAGGACAAGGACATTGCTCATGATGTTTCTAGTAGCCCAGTGAGGTTTGAGGCATTGGCTTGCACCATAGCAAGGAAAGGCCGATAGCGGACTGGGACATATAAGGCGCTATTGGGGTGCTATTGGGGTTAGCTTGGTGGCGGTGTAGTTCTGGACAAAGCGAAACGGCCAGTGTTTTTACCTGACTCCGGGCCTTCAATCTTTCCTCACTTTTTCACTACTTGTCATCTGCTCACACATGTATGCACGCAACCATAGATACGCACGCACATACATACCCACACACAGGAAGAAAAATGAACTGGGCCTGACGTGAAGTGCGGAAAGCATATGAAAGGACAGATATTTTGGTGGCTCAAAGTAAACATGCTTACTCATGTTATTTGCTTCATTATTTTGTAGTCACGAACAGCGTTATGCCGATTGATTGATTGATACGTGGGGTTTAACGTCCCAACAGCACCATATAATCATGAGAGACGCCGTAGGGGAGGGCTCCGGAAATTTCGACCACCTCTGGTTCTTTCACACGCACCGAAATCTGAGCACACGGGTCTACAGAATTTTCGCCTCCATCGAAATGCAGCCGCTGCAGCCGGGATTCGATCCCGCGACCTGCGGGTCAAGGGCCGAGTACCTTAGCCACTAGAGCACCGCGGCGGGGCCAATGACGCCGATGCCAGCATTTCTTCGAAAATAGCTCTTGATTGTTGTCGCATTAAAATTTCAAGCCGGTGAGTACACACCGGGACACATTCACTTGGGCACGAGCGGCCTTTCGGCACGGAGTGGCCTTGAACGAGAGCGTGGTGAGGGCGGCGCGGCCTCTTCCTTCTCCGCTAGTGGAGTTTCACGACAGAGGGCGCGTCAGTGCTGTGCTTGATTTCGTGATGTTTTCAGAATGCCCAAGCGAGCACAGTTTTGCCTCCTCAGATATTCTTGCTCCGTGGTTCAAACCTGTGTGTAAATCAAAATTAACATATTAATATTATTAATAATAATATTATTATTATTACAGCAAAAGCTGTTTTGAGGCGTTTTATGGCCCTGTCTGTGAGCGAAATGTCTGTGAGGAGTCTGCTCGGAAAAGCCGAGAAAGACAAACTCATAGTGCTGGCATATTTTAGTGGCTGTGGCCACTACAAGAAAGATTGTTCTTTTTGACGTGCAAATTTTATTGCATTTATAGATATATTTCATAAATAAAAACTAAAACTCAATTTTAACATTATAGCTTGTTTTCCTCAAAACAAGAATTTTCTCATTTTTTTTCAATGTTCCCCTCCTTTTTCGGGTACTTTTGGTGCTCGTATCTGCATAAAATCTAGCCCAAATTTTTGCGAAGTATGACAAATACAATTATCTAGTTTAAATTTCAATATTTTATTTTATAATAGAAAATGTATGTAAACCTTTACTAGGATAGATGAAATATGAACTTTTTTATGTCTATTATTTTTCATGCCTATTGCGTATTTTGTATGCGCTTTCTAATTAGTTATTTGTATTCTACACTTGATTTGAAACATTATGAACTATGAATGGTAAAAAATTATGGAAGTTTAGGGATGAAAAGAGGGGAGGGCGGCAAAAGGGTTAAGGTTTTCAAATTGTCATTTCACAGAGCTAAAAGTAAGGAACTTGCAAGAAAACTAATTATATATTTGAAATCAGCATAGAAAAGTTCTATAAACAGCTCAAGTTTCATTGCTGTAGGGTGAATATTAAGAAAGTGTCTCCGAGTAGCATCTCCCCTTAAAGTGCTGTTATTGATAATATTAATCGCATTGTAGTGCAATGTGTGGCCTGTAAGTTTCAAACCGATGCTTGAATTCATGAAAGGAGTAGACACACCACAAATGCTGTGGAAGCTTCATAATTAAATCGTCACTTGAATAAAGATACGATTCGCAGTATTGAGACAGCGGAGCATTTTTAGCAGGTGCTGCCCCGCATCACTAAATGATATGTTTATTCTTTGTTGCAGTTACATCGTATTTCTTTGTTGTAAATGTGTTTAAAAACCAATATGGCAGTGCCCATGCAAGCAATCTGTTTAGGCAACCTCAAGTATAAATCTGTCAGTGTAATCTAAATTGCTGTTTGTTCCTATCATTTCTTAAATTAATCTTCAAGAAGCAGTGAACAAGAACATAACTTCTGTGACCATGGCTCCAGTATTTTCCAGGAGGTGACCCCACAATGTTGGTACTGCAAGACTTGCATGCCTTTCTGACATCAGCTGGGACAGATTCTTTACAGGGAGAACAGGTGTCAGCTTTTCTTAACAAACAGGTGAGAGCTCGGTGAAGTGCCTGCTTATACATCTTTCAGATGTAAAGATTATTCAGTGACAGCAGTTGCAGTAGATTTAGGGAAGCTTTTGGTATTGTTTTGAAACTGTAAAGCTAAACCTTTAGTGACATAAGTAGCACTCCCTGCACATTTTTAGCCGTACAAAACCTCGCAAGTTTTCAAACTGTTTATTAGAATCCTTGGGTTTTGCCACCATAAATGTGCAAATGAAAGCATAAATGCTGGGTCATTAAACCTTCTTGCTTTGACCATCAGCATTGTAACTGCTGTGGGAATTGAGGCTAGCCCGTTGCCTTTGCACGGGCTTTGCCGCCTTTTCTGCCGTTCTCATGTCCCGACATGTCTCCCCTCCTTCGCTGTCTGCCGCGCTGGGAGAGCGAAGTGACGTTTAACACCCTCACCAGGTAGCGGATGTTGACTGTGGCACCGTGGGCGGAGTCTCCCGAGAGGTTTAGCGCGCGTGCGTCGGGAGCGGGCGAGAGACCTCTCCGGGGACGACATGGGGTAAGCACGCTTTTCTTTTCCATCGATCAGCTCCCTGTGCGACTCTTTCGAACTTCGCCAACAGCGTCTTGCGCCCGCGGCGAATGCTTACCTTTTGTCGCCCCCCCCCCCCCCCCTTCCGAACGCTAGGCCGAAGTGGTACGGTGTCCTAGTGCATTGCCTAGCTACGCCAACCCGTCTCCCTCCGAAGCCAACGCGAGCGCCTTTGCCCTCGCTCGAGCAACCGGGCCCTTGTCCCGGTGTCCCCGTGGATCACCTTTTCCGCGGAGATGTGCTCATGGCACCCTGTGTAGTACTTTTATGCCCGTAGCGTGGATAAGCCTATTTGCTTTCCCGCTGCGCCTTTGCAACGGGCTGTACTGTGTTTGGTGTTGCCACAGACAATAAAGCGTTGCGACTTTGAGCAGTATCGTGTTCTCGCCATGGCGACGGTTAACCCGTGCCCTGCGGCTCGCTAAGACCGGACCCACGCTAGTGGCCGTACTTTTTCGGGATACATGGCACTACACTGCTGCCCCGAGAGCTCTTTTTTTGTACATTGTTGATAATTGACGTAATACTGCAGGTTTTTTTTTCTTTGCTTGCTTCAGATCGAGATATATGTCCACAGTTTTGAGAGCAACTGGCTGGAAACGAAAAGTTCTAAGATGCATTTCTCTGGTTGTAAACCTGGTAGCATAGAGTAGTTAAGGTCCCTTAAAGGAGAAAATTCTGGAGATTGCTTTTGATTGTAGACTTCAACATTCTTGAGATCGTTTTTGGCAGTAGTTCTCAAAACGATCATGTGGATGATGATAATTTTTCAGTGTATGTTACTCTGAAAGCACTGGCAGTAACTGCGGCGATGATGATAATGCCACTAGAATGCAAGGAGTGAGCTACACCCCTTTAACCCTTGGTTGTACTGCAGTACATATATGTCCCGCTTTTTATTTCTCATAATCGGTGTGGTAGCTTCTTAAGATAGCTCGTGCTACCTCATTCAGGCCACTAAATCCATCTATTGAGCATACTGCAGCATTTATTTATACAGTTTCTTGACATATCCATTAGGTCGAAGTACACAACAAGTTGAGAAGTATGTTATCTGTTTTTTTTATCTCTGCATTTCAGTTTTTGTTATTGTAGCCCTAATTTATACCAAGTCAATGATGTCGTGTGAATAAGTCTTGTCTTTCTTGCTCAACAGAAGCCACTTAGCGAAAACTATGAGCTGTTTTTTCTGATGTTAAAGCATGACAAGATAAACTTTTTTAAAAAAAAGCAGTGTGATTCATGTGCTCCATGTGAGCTTTAGCATGCACATCATTAGCGGGCTGTCTGTTCAGTCCATGCTTATTACATTGTTTTACAGAGGACTCCTCAGTCTTTCGCTATGCTGTGTGTCTACATACGAAAACTACTATTGGCACCACGAACTGGCATGCACTTTCTTCATCCTAATCGTCATATTTGTCCTCTTCTTCATCTTGTGCTTTAATTCTAGAACGTGTGCCGATTAGATCTCTATGTGATGCGATAACTTTAAGAGTGCAAAGAGAGAGAGAGAAAGAAGAAAGGGCAAAAGACAGAAGGTGAGAGAATCGAACAGAGAGAGAGAGAAAGAAATGGAGGAGCTATAGAGAAGGAGAAAGTGATCAACGGAAAGGAAGGGAATAAAGAAAACAAAATAGAAATACAGAAAAACTAAATAAAAAAAACGATAGAAAGAAAGGGACACAAAAAGAGTTTAAAAGCCCGAGAGTGTGCATAGTCTTTGATAGTATAGTCTATCCAGAAATGGGAACATAAAGTAAGGTTGAGAAGAGAAAGCGGGAGGGCAACGCCACCAGCTGGGCTACTTCTTCAGTCTTTCCACCACTAGTCAGTAGCTGCCTCAATTTTTTTTCCTAAAAAGGCATTGCATTGCTGAGGAAGCACTGGAGCTATTCCAGAGCTTGATGTAGAATTTTAACAATAGTAATGACACAATGACTGGTGTTCGGAATGACCATCGATTCTCCGCAAACACTCACCATCTGAATTTGACTGGCACGTGACGGTGGTTCTGTTGGTGTTCAACTAGCAAAAGAGAACTTCTTGCACACTAGGTACATGTGCATTTTGCATAACATTCCACTGTATGCAAATTGCTTCCTACCATTCTACAAGAAAATGTGAAATGCATCAGAAGGGCAGCAAGACATGTTTTCGTGTAGTACTAGTTGTTAAACTTACAACCTTTGTTTTATTTCAGCAGGAAAAGTGTATTAGGAATATGTATGTCAATATAATAAAACTTCATTAAAATTAGAATGCTTCTCTATTGCCTAGAAACAGCACAAAATTTTTAAATACTTTCACAGGAAAGTATTTCACTGACTACATGGGATGCTCAGTGTAAAGGTATTTTATGTATGCTTTATTTCTTGAACTCAGTGGAAACATTGAATAACAAACCTTGTTTTTCAAAAAGGAAAATTTTTTTACACAATGCATAGAACTGATTTCTAATATATTCTCTCTAGACATGACAGTAAAACAAATATTAGCTATAAAACAAAGTTCAAGAGTGCTCAGTGTAAGTAGTAGGTGGTGTAATGAACAGGGGTACATCATTCATTTGTTTTTATTAAATAAAGGTGAACTAAGCATGATGAGTGGCACCAGCACAGCTTGCTGGTCTGAAAAAAACATGAAAAGCTTTCGTAATGATTGTTTTATTGTACCCTTGCCAACATTTGTTTTTTTTTCATTCCTAATATTTCCCATCTTTGGGGTATATTTACTCCATAGAAGTTACAATTAATGAGGCAAACAATTACTGTTTTGTTAATTGTCCACACACAGTGTGGTGTAGTTGGTTGTAGTTTTTTTCTGAGAAAGCTCTGAAGAGGTTGCTTTCTCACTTTGTGTATTAGCACTGTTTTGCCAGCTTTGTCATTTTGACTTGACCTTGAGATTGTAAACACGTGGCATTGGTAATGTCAGAGGCCACAGCTTACATAGGTGGCCAGCACCAAATGCCTTGTTCATTCAAGGTTAGGTGTACCTTCTGGCAAATTGAACTGAGTGGGCAGGCCTTCTAGTGGCATGTGTGCACTGCTCCCTGTGCATGAGTAGTGGGTGAAATGGGATTTTGAAGGTCCAGGCCACTGCCTAGACACCTCACGATTCCGAATGTTTACCTGTTTGCTCCTTGCACTAAGTTGGGACCAGTCATTTCAAAGGCTTTGATTGTTGTGTTGAAAATCTGATATTAGATTAATTTGAATGTTTTAGTTATTAATTACATTAATTTACATACATTATTTATACTTTACAGCCAAATATGTGCCACTATCAACCGGTAACTGCAGTGCACTTTCTCGTTTTTGCTCATTTACAAGTTTCTTAGTTGAATCGATTTTCTTGTAATGTGGCATATGTTCAAGAAATGAATATCTGGCATTCCATTGCTTGTCTTTGCTATTTGAGAACGAGGAATTATTTTTTATTTGGCTTTATCTTAGAAGGTTGTCTTTATATAGTGCTGTTCTTTTTTTATTCAATTATAAGTTGTCTTGTTTATATACTAAATGTGCATATCCTGCATGTATTTTATAGGTGCATCTACCTGTTATGGGGCCCTATGAAGGCTGCCAAGGCAGCCAGCCACGATTACGAGGTTACCCTTGTGCTCTATGGATGCTTTTCCACACCCTGACTGTTAGTGCCTACCTCAAGTCTGGAGGTAGAGTGTCTGCATTATTTTCTTGCAAATGTAGTTTTGCAAATGTAATGCATGCTGTGATAACTAGCTTTGCTACCCCTGAATCCTATGAATCATGATATAAAAATCGAGCTGCCACCATTATTTTTTAAATGCGGCATGTATGGCGTCATATATTAGTGAGCTGGTACTGCTTTTGTATATTTGCTCTACTAATGCAGTGATTGCACTCCTGCACCAACTGCCCCAACCAAAGCGCGCCAAATGAGATTTACTGCATCATCCCCATAATATCAATAAAAATCGTGCCAAACTGCACCAAAGTCTCATTTGCAGTGGTGCGACAGCTGCGCCAATTGCACCAATTTGATACAATTCGACATTTTTGCGTCGAGCTGCACCAAAACCATGAAATAAGCCAAAATTGCGCCACGCTGCGCCAAAATGCCCAACCAGCCTCAAGATTTCCTCAGTTGCGCTGATTTCAAGGAGGAATGAAGACCACGTTGGCCAGCTGTAGTTTCCGTCCTCAATCAGTCCAGGGATCTACGCATGCCGACCCTTACTCTAAACCATGGCAGGACACTCACGAAATGCGATCGACCAGACAAAGTAAGAATGCCGTGTGCCCATCGGTTCACTGATCGCAGCAGATACGAGGCAACTTCAAGACAAGAATATGTTGCCGTAGCCAGCAACACTTCGCGGCAAATATGAATATCCTAATAAACAAATGCGGTTATGGCATTTTAGGAACTAAAGCTGGAAGCGTATGCCACTGTTACTGCGCGTGAACCAACGCAACGTGCTGAAAACGCCCGCGTTGCTGGCGACCACGTTGGTTGCCATAGCAACGGCACATGCGATAGCTATGTGGTGCCGCCGCCGAGCCAATGGGCGCGTGCCAGTGTTACTTTATCTAGCTAAATGGCCTTACAAGTGAGTTGAAAAGTGGTGCCCTAAACCTAACTCCATGGTAACTAAAAGGGGGCGTGCTGTAGCGGTTCGAAAATTTCTTGGCCTTGTTCTAACCCGTGCAAGACTCCGCATAGGCCACCTTCGCCACAGTACACTGGTGGCCTGAGGAGAAGCGTTAAGATTCGGAAATGGCTGTTAGCATTAGTCACGGGACACAGCACAGTTTGTTCAGTTACTCATGCGTGTATACGCTGCATAATTGTGGTACTAGTATGATCGCTGACATCTAAAAAAGTTACTGGCAATCATTTGGAGCATTGTATAAGATTTGTACAGCCCTAAAGAAAATCAAAACAGGGCGCCAGTTTTTTTTTTTCCGCCACCCCGAAGGTAACCAGCTTGGCTGATCCACATTTGAATCCTCAGAGTCTGTCAAAGGATTCGAGTGGCGTGGCAAATGCTGATGTGGACTTTATCATTGTTTTCTGGGGGGAGGGGAAGGGGTTCAAAATTCTACTGTTTATTAAAATAGTATTGTTCATATTCACACTGCATGATTTAGGGGACGTTGTATGGTATGTACAGTCGACCATAAAAGTTCACGTACCACGCGAGCGCATGGCTGAAAGCCTCTTCGTGACACTTCCGTTACGTCAGCGGCAGTCGACAGCATCGCAGCGCCTTGAAAGCGTCCCTCCTCTAATCGATGGCCTGTCTCTTTTCTGACTGGGTACAAATAATTTTCACCTTTCGCATTTTAACCCAATGTGCTTTTGGTATCTGCGTCTACGAGCTTGTGCCTGGCCGGCACTTTATGAGCATAACTGTTATCAGTCGCAATCTTTATCACAAAGTGACATCTAGCCAACAGAACACCGTTTAAGGCACGCCGTGGTAGTTTCGATCTTCCTATGAAAACAGCAATATGATGGTCATACTGCAGATAAGCACTTCGCGTGAAAACCGCGAACAATGTGCTACGTGGCAGTACAAAACTGAAAGGCCAGTGATAAGAAGATGACTCGTTTCCGGCCAAGAACTGTGGTCGAGGGTTGATAGCGTACCGCTAGGCAGTTTGGCACGTGCTCGCATGGTCTGCAAACTTTTGTGGCCGACTGTACATATCTTTTTTTCAGAATGCAAGCCTTCTTTTTGATACTGCTGCAAATTCAGTCTTTTGTGATAAAAAAATTAATTTTCGTCCTTGTACCCTGCTCTATATTTGGATTTTAGTGTTCCAAAAGCAACATTTTTGTGCTCCAAAACTTTGTGTGCCGCAAATTCTATTTCGGCTGTTGCACCCCTGCATTTTGGTGCGTCAAACACCAACAATAGCCACTCTGGAACGTCAAAACGTGCAACTTGCAAACATGCAACGCATCTAGAATTATTTCACAGATTAAATAGTGGTCACACGCGCATCTCAACTAATCAACGATGCGATCTATGCTTGGTGTCGACGCAACTTCTGTTGTGCAAGTTGGCTCAACAGCAGAACGTGCTCTCCGCAAGTGCTCGTGACATCTTGTCCAATCTGTAGTGTGTAACTGTGGCAGTAAATCATTTGCAGACGTCGTCTGTTTAGGAACGCTGCTGATAGCTCGTTTGAAGAGTAGCACTCCACGTAATTAAAGCAATTTTCACTAATATGTGCATGCATGCTGCCAAAATGTCTGTCCCGTTTATTTCTGGACATCACGGTGTAATTTTACGTGCTTCGCGTTTACAGAACAACACGTGAAGGGTAGGAACCTGTTGACACTTTCATCTTCATCCAGAAGAGTGTTTTCCTTATTCCTTACACGTACCAGCACATCTGTAATCGCTCTTGTGGTAAATGCCCCTAAAAGACCCTGCCCTTCCGAGCTTGTGAGTGCTAAGGTCCGAACTCAAATTTTTCGCGTGCTTTTTATAATGAAAGCATATGCCTCCTCCTGGTAGGAACCCCAATTTAGTTTTAAATGACCCAGCTTTCAGTAGTGTGCCCTGTGTCGGAAGGCCCACTGTGAAGCGGCTAAGCCGTGTTACATGTCCGCCCCTCGCTTTCCATGGTCGATAGCTGGCGGTTAAAAAGAAAAAAAATTAAACATCACGGTATCGCATTCATTGCGTCGTTTTGGATGGTGGGAGGCTGCGACTCTCAAAGGGCGCAGTCGCTGGCGCGTGCTATCTCGGGATATCACTACACTTCTCGTAAACATTCTGTGCTATTAGTGTCTGCTTCACATTTACATAATTTACAATATGGAAACCGCTTCGGCACCTGGGGTGGTCATAGTCCCTTTAACCAGAGTTCTGTTGAGTTAAACAAGTAGTGTTCAAACAGACAATTTGTTAGTTTTAAGCTGTTTGCAATGAATGGGATACCAACAAAAAATTGTATTGTAAGGCTTAACGTCAGCCGGGAAGAGCACTATATAGCGACGGGTTGCTATTTCGAAGGTTTGTGCACTCGCCGCACTTGCGAAGAACTTCCTTCACTTGTTCAATATCCGTACGGGGATCGGATGACTATAGAGATACCTGGAACACCTCTTGCAAGCCGATGCACATACAGCATGAATGGCACGTACGAATAGACATTCGAAATGGCGTAATGATGGTGTGGCCGCCTTGCGATCAAAGCTCACTGCATAACCCCTATATGGCCTCTCCACTAAGTGAAGCACTTTTCACACAGCCTGTTTGCGTTGAGAGTACAGCACATAGAAAGGTATATGAGCTGTCTGTAATGCCCGTCGAAATAGCGCACGCACCATCAATCGGGATCTCGCTCTTAAAAGCCAAAGTTTACAGAAGCTGCTCTAGCCCCCTCTTCCCGTTTGCATTCTTACGTGCTTACGTGATGGGCGGCGTGTTCCTCTTTGCACGAGTAGCAATCGATGGCAGGCCTGGCACACGGTGTGGTGTGATCGCTTGCACCCTTGGTGCAACGAAAATAGGTCGGCTTTTTTGTAGCGTTAGCTACACTGGCCTCGCTGAGGCAATTTTGCGCGGCTGCGCGCGACTCGCCGCCGCCAGTGTGTGCTTTCCAGAGGAGAGCCGTCATAGCCTTGGTAGACATATGGACGCTGACGCGAGCGCCTTCCCTGTGCAGACGCCATCTGACACTGCACTGGAGCCGCTTGATAGCGCCTCTGAGTGGCGTTTGCCACTGTGGTATAGCCATGGAGAAGAAGAGTGCAAATGCTGCTCAACGGTGCAGTAGAGCGATGAAGCTTAACTCATCGGATTCCCAAGTAGTCGCCCGGCAAAATAAATATATGTGTGTCATTGCAGCAGCAGTAAGCATGATAATCAAGCTAATCCTAGGCACTCTGAAAAGCTAAGAATAATCAGCTGAACCTTTGCTAATGCTACGTATATCCTGGCATAGCTGAGCTAAGCCACTGCCATTTTTTTATCTCTGCTTCAACCGCGTTCATCGCCTCCGCTCACACACTTTGACCCGCGTGCACAACGTGTGGTGGCAGGGGATGTTGTCAACTTGGACATGACACAAAACATAATGGCGACAGCAAAAACCAGTCGAGAATGATCATGTAAATTCTATTGCAACAAAGACAAAATAGCTTTTCATTCTTTAATCATCTGTGGCCTATAAATAAGATTAGTTTTCTTTTTTTCTATTTGCACTTCTTTCCGAAGAAAACTATGAGGTTTCGGGGGTACAAACCAAAGGCCCTAGCCATTTATAACTTCTCTGCAAAAAGAAGCCTGAGAGAGGTGGAAGGGAGTGTCAGAGGAGGTTGGCTTGATGAGGCAAGATAAGTGACGTTATGTAACGCCGAGCAATATAAACGATAAGGAAGAAAAAGAACCTTTCTTTCTCCTTGCCATCATGTTAGGAAGAATGCATTTGGGACAGTACAAGTTTTTAGTGTTGTGTGTCACAGCATTTGTGTATTATGTCCGCTGATAACCATATAGGCATATTTAGAATGCTATTTTATAAAGTACAATTTTATTGAACCACTATTCTATTTACTTGCTATGAAAATTACTGAACAAGTTGTTTCAGTATGCTTCACAGCATGATGCCATTAGTTTTTCATCATCCAGTAAAACAGGGAGCACTCTAAGATGATTGGCTCCATGAGATT